TTTCTCATGACTTTTATCAAAGCATAAAAGCACAAAGCCCTAGATAGCCAGGTCAAGCTATCTCTGATAACTTAGAAATAGTTATCTAGAATGTACCGACTGGACACAAAACCCATTATCAAAACTTTTTTTTTTTTATTAACTTTATTTATTCACCCACACCTGTCATATGCAATGACAATTAGCGGGTCTGCTGTCGGTAAGTGTACAGGTAATGGCTTGATCGGCGTGATGGAGAGGAGTACCCAGCGGCATCCCTTCCTGTCTTGATTTTAGCATATTTTTAAGTGAGGAAATCCCTCATCCAGCTCCTTTTGAGCCTCCTAAGTGTGTTTTCGGGCATGTTAAATGTAGCCATACTTTGTATAAGTGTGTTAGTATGTCCATGTAAGTTATTGTGAAATCGCTTGTAGTATGTCCGTATGTGATCGTTAACTGTTGGCATTTTAAGGTCTTTATGTAGTGTAATGTTTGTGACGTACCATGGAGCTTTGGTTATGGTTCTGAAAGTTTTAGACTGAAAAGTTTGTAGTTTTCGTATGTGTGTCGTTTTGGCTGTTCCGTAAATTTGTGAAGCGTAGGTCCATATGGGCTTAAGTAGATAATTGTAAGTGTTCAGTTTTTGTTTTAGGTTTAATTTTGAGCGTCTTGAGAGAAGTGAGTATAACAGTCGTAGTCTGAGGTTTAATGTTTTTCTTTTTTTGTTGATATGTGGACCCCATGTCATTCTTCTGTCGAATGTCAGTCCAAGATATTGTATTTTATCTGTTTGAGGAATTTCGGCATTGTCAAGGTAAATAGGAGGGCATGTTCCATGTCGAAGAGTAAAAGTGATGTGTTGTGATTTGTCTTGGTTGAGTCGAATTTTCCAGAGTTTGCACCAGTCGTTTAGCTTTGTTAGATGATGTAAAGTCTGTGTGGCGTGTATTGGGTTTTTATGTCTTGTCAGAATAGCTGTATCGTCTGCGTAAGTCGCTATAATAGTTCTGGCGCTGTTAGGGATGTGGTGTGTATATATAATGTATAAAAGCGGAGCTAGTACTGACCCCTGAGGAACACCTGCTAAGGCTGGTCTTATTGAAGAAAGTTCTGAGCCTTGGCAGACAGAGTAAAATCTGTCAGAAAGAAAGGATTGAAGTATAAGATAATAGGTAGGAGGGAGTATCGTCTTAAGTTTGAAGAGAAGACCCTTATGCCAGACTCTATCGAATGCTTGAGCGACATCCAGAAATACTCCAGTTGCATACAATTTTTGCTCCAGTGCAGTTGCAATGTAGTCAGTCACCCTGTGTAATTGATGGATGGTTGAATGCTGTCGTCGGAATCCAAATTGATGGTCGGGTATTATTTTTCCGTCCGTCAATATGTTCATAAGTCTTTTGTATAGTAGTTTTTCAAAGATTTTGGAACATATTGGGAGTAGACTAATTGGCCTGTATGATGAAGGGGTGTATTTGTCTTTGTTTGGTTTGTGGATCATAGTAATGTATGAGTATTTCCATTGTACAGGAAATTTGGTCGTTCTGAGTATTGTATTGTAAATAGATGTTAAGTAAACTAGAGCTTTTCTGGCATTTTCTGGAGCACTTGAGCAGTTATCAGGTCATGAACAGGGGCTTTCTTTTTTGGTAATTGTCTAATTTCTTCTGCAACAAGTTTTGGAGTGAAAAAAGGTGGAGGTAATTCTAATTGTAGTGGAATGTCTAAAGTGTTTAGTACTTTTTCTTCGTGTTCAATGTTGTTGAAGTCAGTATGTGGAGTAAAAACAGAAGAAAGATGGATAGCGAATAGCTCCGATTTTTCTATATCTGACACGGCCCAGGAACCATCCTCGTTTTGGAGAAGTGCAGACACTTCACGATGATTTACAAGTTTTTTCGTATGCCTCCATAAGCTCCCATCGTCAGTAGAGAGATTTCTGATGTAGTTGTCGTAAATTGTAGTTTTATAACTTTGAATAAGTCGTTTTAGTTCATTGTTGTCTATTGAATGTCCGTTTGTCAGATGGCAGTCGACCAGTTTGCCATACTTTGCGAGCTCTACTCTTTGCCCTGATCAAATCTCTTATGTACTGAGGATATGTTGGAAGTCACTCATTTCTGTTGGACCTTGGGACAGAAGAAGACAATATAGCTTGTTGAATGCTGTTTGTGAATTTATCCACAGCTTCTTCAATTTCATATTCGTTCCTTAGAGACATTGGAATAGAGAGCATTTCGTTTAGCTTTTCTTGATATCCATCCCAATCGATAATTCCTCCTACGAGAGATGGTCGTTTCATTGTAGTACATGGCTCATCATACAGTACTAAGCTGAGAAGAGAGTGATCAGAACAAAGATCGCAGCTTGCATTTATAGTGTATGGTACAGTCCTTAGTCCTTTAGTGACGAAAAAATCAAGTAGGTCTGGTATTTTCTGTCTTGAAGTTGGCCAGTAAGTAGGTGTATCAGGTGAGATCGTGTCTAATGAAAGCTGATGGATGGCAGACTTTAGGTTTCTTCCTCTAGGAGTACAAAGTCGTGATCCCCAGGACTGGTGTTTGGCATTGTAATCGCCACCAGCAATAAAACACCTCTCCAGACGACTGAAGAAATTGCAAAACATCGCAGGTGTGAGCACATACCTCGGAGAACAGTACACTGCAGCAAAGGTAATGGTTTGGTTTTGGGTATATAGTGTAATGGTTGTAGATTGTATATCAGGTGTAATGGGTAAATGTAGTGAATCAAAACTTAGGGAACAATAACAGCTTTCAGCAAAAGGTCGCTGTCTCACAGACTTCATATCAATTCTAAAACATAAGGATATCAATTCTTAATAGTTATAATTTCATTCACACGCTTCCTAGACCGTCCAGAATTGATCCCCCCCCCTACTATTCCTGAATATATAAACCCCATGATTCTCAGACCAAATCACTCATGTAGTTAATTCTCTTGAAGTCATACTCTTAACTGTTGGAGACCTGGAGTGAACTCATGTAGTCAACACATATATCCATAGTATATTACTCTGAAAACCTCACAGAGTTATGAGGGTATTGAGGGTCGACGGTGAGTTTTTAGAGCAGGTGAAAAGTTTCAAATACTTGGGTGCTCAATTCAACGAAAATGGATATATTGACGAGGAGGTAAGGCAGAGAATAGGAGCTTCTGGAAGAATGTTCGCCTCGGTTAGGAAAGGCTTTCTGAACCGAAAAGAGGTGAACAAGGAAACGAAGATGACGGTCTACGGGTCAGTATTCCTTCCTATATTGACGTATTCCTCCAAGTCCTGGACCCTTACTTCGAAACACAGGAGCCAGATCCAGGCTCTAGATATCCGATACCTGCGAAAGGTGGAGGAAAAGACTAGACGAGACAGAATTCGCAATACTACAATTCGGGCCAATCTCGACGCCAAAGCGGTCGAAACCATAATAGATGAACACAAGTTGAGATGGTTTGGGCACCTTCTCCGTATGGATCGAAACAGAGTCGCAAGGAAAACGTATGAGACTCGTGTGCAGGGTAGGAGACCGAGAGGGAGGCCCAGAATCTCCTGGGAAGAGGGCGTGCGAGATGCATTCCAGAAGCGAGGTTTGGAATGGAACAGGAGACGAGAGCTGGTACTGGAAAGGTCCACCTGGTCCAGGCTCTACAAGAAGCATCCTCACACTGCATAGGCGGTAAAGAGGAATAAGATTATGATGATGATGATATTACTCTGTATTTTAGATGGCATTTGTAACATTATGAATAAAACCATTACTTATGAAGTCTCCACTCCCTCCGATTCGTTAACTAGGCAATTATGGCACTCTTTCTTCAGAAAAAAATAAACCGTACAACATTATTTTTTCTCATTAAGTTTTTAAGAAAAATATTTTAAACAAAATTTATTTTTGTTTTCGTCATAGGTAATTGTATTTGTTCCAAACATCAATTAGCCATACGATGTGAGATTGTTCAGAATTTTCTTAAAAATTATACAAGTGAAAGTAGAACAACTCAATTATAATTAAATCAATACCAACCATTAAATCAAAATAAATCTTTTTTTTTTTTTTCACGAACAGGCCTTAAAGACCACGCGAATACCATGAAGTTAATGCTTCCTCTTCATCTGCCTCCTCTTCTCCCATATGCCCCTCATGAGCTCCGCGTGCTTACGTTTTCTCTCCTCAGACCACGCAACACCCTTTTTGGAGCGCTTCTTGCCCGCAAGAACTGTTATTCTCTTGAGCGCCTTCCTGTACTCATCTCTGTCTAAACAATCTTGGTCTCTTAGCCCCACTTGGTCCATATCATCCTTAATCTGTTTAAAATACCCGCTTACATTCTTATGACTGTGGATGCGCTGAAAGATTTTATGGTTAAGTCTTTCAGGATTCATCCTTATCATATGGCCATAGAACCTCAGCCTTCCCACTCTAGCGTCAGTTTCTAGATCCGTTGTTTCTTTATATATTTCGTCATTAGACCTCAACCTGTATAAAATAAATCATTATTATAATATGAAGAAAATAATTTACACAATAAATTAAAGTGAGAAGCGCAGTAAATTAGAAATTTACTGTTAAATATAATCTCAGACATTTTAATACTTTTTTACTATTAAATTAAGCCATAACCAATTGAAACATACCGGGTTTTAAGAGCGTACGTAGCTTTCATATTGGGGGGGCATTTTGATCTTTAACTTAAATAATTTGAGATGCTGCCACTAGATTTTATGAGATGTTTTAGCGAACATTTAAAAATTACAAATAAAGGCTCATGCAAATTTCAGCTTTAGCTTCGTAACATCATTCTGAGGTTGAAGCATTATATCAGTGGTCTAGATTTAAAAATCTTGTAATTTAGGATTACATACTTCTTTGGAACTCAGCTAAAATCGACTATCTCTTTCTTATGTTAACCTGTGAAATTAGCTCTTTGGATTGTTATTTCCATTTGTTCCTCATAACCTTCTTGTTTTCTTTTAGTTACTATTGTTTTAAGTATTGAGAAATTAAAGTATTATTAATCATTAAATACTCTTTTTATTATTTGTATGCTTCAAAGCAGGATTATTTAGAGCTATGAACCTCCAAACTTTATTTAAAGATTTTAATCCTAGGTCTGTCATGAATATATCTCAATTTCTCCTATTTAATAATAGATTAGTTTATTGTTGATAACAGCATTACTATAGTAGTTTTTTTTTGTTAATGTTACTGCAGTTTTTGTTAATTTCAAAAATATTTTTAGCAAGTTTATTGTGCATACATCGTTGATGTTGTTCACTGCACTTTTTGCTTTGAGGCAAGATGGAATTATTGACTGGTCATATTGGACTGTGTTTTCTCCAATTTGGTTTTGGAAACTAATGGTAATTCTTGGTGCTACAGTTGGTAGTTATGTTTGGTGGCGATATCCTCATTTCAGGTATTATTTCTTTTTGTAAAAAAAAAAAAATGTCTAAAATATCATTATAATAATATGCAGAATCAGAAAATTGTCATATTTTGTTTACTATTGGTCTGTTTTCAAATAATTACAGTGATGGATCATATTCCTGTTTAAACTTAATTAAAATGCATTTAATTTATGGATGGTACCTTATAATGAAGCTTAAAAAAAAAAAAATTAGTGTCAAGAAAATTGCCAAAACCTCAATATTTTCATCCATAACTATATCACTGAGATCAGAAAAAAAAACGGTAATAATCCTATCTGGTAATGTTTATATTCCCTTTTGATTATTAAGAGTTGTTGATATGGGCATATGAATATATTTATGATTTAATAATGTAAAACTCTATTTTTAAAGTTAATAAATAATTATTAGGATTGTCATGTTTTTTTCTGTGTTATGTTGATTAAATTTAAATTGTGTCTCTTATTTATTTTTTAAATATTACCTTTAACATGGATCATATAACTGGGATGTAAGAAAATATATTTTATCCTTTATTCTTGGTGCTACTTCACATATATCACTATAACATAATGACCTCGCCAAAATAACATTGATAACACAACAGATGGATTCCAAAAATGGCTGAATGCTTCTGAAATTAGACAGAAGCAAGAGACTGGGGTTGGTGATCCTCTCTCCCCCATTTTTAACTAAAAAAGGACCTTTTAGAGGTTTGTTTGCCCTCCCAGTTGTAATGTAATTAAAGAGAAGTTATACCTATAAATGTTTTTGTCAGTATCTAGCAATTTAGGAGAGCCATCTATGATGTGCTCTTGGCACAGTGGTCACATAGAGGTAACACTTGTGAAATTCCACCTTGTTTATTAATATTAATCTTATAATTTTTAAAAATATTGCTTTTTAGTCAGATTACTTAATAATAGTGTTTTAATTTAAATTATCACATTTATGTTGTTTAGTAGTGTGTTAGTCTTATAGCTGAAAAGCTTCTATAACTGGTATTAGAAAAAAAGTCTGCCAATTGAGGCCAATATCGCTTCGTCAACATTACCGTCAGCCTCACACTTGTCTATATCTCAATAATTTTTTGTTCATGAATATAATTAGCAGGAGATACCATATTAAAAAAGTAATCCCACAACATGTCGCGGCTTTAAGTACCTTTAATTTTTTTTACTTAAAATAATTAACCATTTCTCATTAAACTCTGCTTTAAAAAATCACTAAATATAAAATATAACTGAATTTGATAATTAACTAAAAGAGAAATAAGTGATCATAATAAAAAACTGAAGAAACCCAAGCACGTACCCAACCTGGGTCAAAGGGTTATAATAAGCTTCCATACATTACACGTGTTTAATAAAATGTAGGCACCCATAATATTATATACATATATATGTGCGGTTATCATAAATGCTAGCGTTAGCATTATTTAGTATTTAATTATATAGATTACAGCAACATAAAAATTAAAGTTTGTATATATACATATATATATATATATATATATATATATATATATATATATATCAATGCTTAAACAAATAGAAATACCCACAATGAAATATAAAAACTATAACACCCTTTTTTATAAAAGGTACTTTTTTCGGACTAAAAATATTTTGTGGATTATTTCTTTATTATAATCAAATAAATAACTAAAATATACAGTCATAAAAGAAATGATTAGTGACAAAAATACAAAACAAGTTTAATGATTATACAGGTGTGAAAAACATATATTTAATTTATTAAATAATATTTTGTACTATCTCTAATTTTTACTTTCATTATTACTCTTTCTTTGAAAATACCTCTTCCTATTAAAAAAAGGGTGGTAAGTGAAAGTTGTGTGATGAGTGCACTGCACAAGATTTCTTACTTTTACCTTATTTCTGAGAATTATTAGCCCTTTTTCTATCTCTTTCTCACTTAAAGGATTAATGTTTTGGACTATTTGTCCATCTTCATGACTCTTTATCTTTTTTTTTTTTTTTTTATGTATTAAAATATTTGTCAATCATTAGTTAAACTGACTCTTCAAAATTTTTACTTTCGCTTACCTATATATGCAATATATAGTAAGGATAAGTATTGCGATCGTAAATCATTTGAGTTTTCAACGGAAATACATGTTTTGTCCAAATAACCAAGTCCCGCAAAATGGTCTGTGTGCGTGTGTATGTATGTATCAGTCTAGCTCAAAAACGAAAAGTCGTATGAAAGTGAAATTTCGTATTTAAGGTTTTTACAAGCTTTCGATGTTACAACATTTTCATCAAAATCGGCAAACCAGAAGTGGTACTCTGTATATTTGATTTCACACATTTTTACGATTTTCTCAAAAACGGCTGTAACAATTTTGATTAAATTCAATATATCAGTGTATTATTAAGCAGTTTTTAATATAATGTAGGTTTTATTCTCATTGATGTTCTCTATCAGAGCTTAAATGGCTAATTGTCAATATTAGCTTCCTCTAAAGTACCTTTATTTTTTTTTTTTTTTTGAAATAATTTATCATTTCACATTAATCTTTGATATAAACAATAGTTAAATATAAAATATGAAAGAATTTAGTAATTAACTAAAGGAGAATTAAGAGATCGTAACGGATAACAGTTGTAATAATAATACTTTATTTATGCTGGGAAGAGTCCCTTTAGAATAATACAGAAAGACAGAAATGTGGGCTAAGGGTCCTTAGAGATACATAAACAAAAATACAGAATAATGAAATAGTCATAATACAAAAAATGTAAGTAATTTTTTAATTTTCATCATTTCATAATAAAAAATAGAAAAAAAATAATGAAGAACGATCTAATAATTTATGTACATATTTACAGTAGTATCTATTTACAATTTTATGGGGACTGGATGGATAAGAAATAATTGAACAAGTGGGATTTAAAGGTAGAAAGGGTATTCGATTAACAGATGTTGGAAGGGATGGAGTTCCATAGGAATGAGGATTGGATAATGAACAATCTTTCGAAAGCAGCGGTTCGGTGGGCCCTTATCTATAAATCAGAAGACTGGGAACGAACAGAGGATTTGAATTGAAGGAGCTCGGAGATATATGATAGGCAGTGGGATTGGATGAATTGAAAGAGGAAGGATGCCAGGAAATACTTATGCCGGCAGGGTGGATAAAGCCACTTCAACTCTGCATAAAAACGAGAAACAGAGGCATCTCTTGGGATCCCGAAGATGAATCGTACAAAGCAATTTATCAAATGTTTTAGTTTTGCCTCGAAATCCTCAGAGACGCCCCCATATACCGTACAGCAATAGTCAAAGTGGGGAAAAATTAAGGAAGTGACTAGGAACCTATGGGTTTCAAAAGGAAATAGGTGACGGGAGTAATTTAGACGTTTTAAGGTGGAAATGGTACGGTGGGAGATATTGGATACATGGTTTTTCCAGGGAAGCGTTTGATCAAAGGTTATTCCAAGGTTTTTGATGGATGGATAAAATTTTATGGGATTATCATGTAGGAACGGAGTTGTAATATTAGGAACAGTTTTAAGGTGGTGATTGGAGCCTATTAAGATTGCCTTCTTCTTTTCCACATTCAACTTCAACTTGTTAGCTCTCGCCCAGTCACAAATTCTATCCATTCTTCTTGAAGTTTTTCTGTGGCTGATAGTAGGTCGGAGGGCGGGAAGGACAGGTATATTTAGAAATCATCTGCATAGATATGATATTGGAAGTGATGGATCAGGAGGGGAAGGTCATTAATATAAATAGCAAACAGAGTAGGAGATAGAGAGGAACACCACAGGAGAGGGGGAGGGTCTTAGATTGAAATGGGTTGATAAGGGAACGTTCCTCTAAGAAGTAGGAGACTTGATTTTGAACAAGGCGTTCTAACGGCTTAGAAAGATTGGATAGGAGAGAAATAGGATGGAAGTCATGCATTTAGGGTTCGAAATTTTATCCAAAGGTCGGACTACGGCAGTTTTCCAGGAGGATGGGAATATGGAGTTTTGCAATGAGAAGTTGTAGATATGATAAAGAACAGGAATGAGGACAGCAAGGCTTAGGAGAGGATTAATAGAGGAATCAAAGGAATACGAGCTTGCCCGAGCACACCCTAGCTCGCCCAAAAGATCACAACAGGCTTCCATACGTAATATGAGCTTCATATATTATGGACTCCTATAATATTATGTTCATATACATATGCGGTTTTCATAAATGCTATCGTTGGCATTATTTAATATTTAATTTTATAGAATACAGCGATATAAAAATTAAGATTTGTATATATAGGGGTATTTAAACAAGTAAAAATACCAACAATGAATTGTAAATAAATATAGCATCAATGGGTTTTACTTTCACTTCCCCTTTGTCTGGAAATACTTATTTCTGCTAAGAAGAGGGTGATAAGTGAATGGTGTGGAATGCGCGCTCCAGATTTTTTATATTCGTTCTTCTTTAGTCGGGAAGTGTTGGTGTATTAATTAAGATGTTGGCAATAAAGACTTCCAATTGAGGCTAGCAAAATTGTATTTGTTGCATTTTCTTTTTGTTGACATTTCGGTAAATCTTTCCCATCTTCAGGACTTTCTCTTGCATTAACTAGTAGTCAATAGTTAGAAAAAAGGATTATTCCAAATGAATAAATGTTGTTACAGATTGGTTATATTTATCTATGCTATGTGCTACGTTGTCTTAATTTAAATATTTTTATAAAAGTGTTATCCAGAGCAACAATATTACTAAACTAATAATTTGATATCTGTGTTAGCTATTTAAGGTTTGTTTTCGAACTTTGTACCTGATTATTTGTTATTTTTATTTTAATATGGTTATGTATATTTGTTGGTAATATTACATTATTTAATTTTACTATGTTTTGATTTTGTTGAGAATGTTAGAATAGTGTATTCTTAGGTGTTTTGTATCGGTATTGTACTTTACTATTATTCTGTTTTGTTTTTTTATATGGATGGCATAGAGTAATTTTCTAAACTTATCTCCATATCCCAAAATCTTATTTTATTATCTATTTCCTTTTCCAATGTAACTTTAATTTTTTTATTGTATTTATTGAAATAATCTATTATATCATTACCTGTGTCCTTTTTTAATTATTAGGAATAAATCGTCAATATATTTTTTATTATAATGGGTTTGTTTTCTAATTTTTATAGTGGTGTCTTGATCAATCTATTTATCTATATTCTGCTTAGATTGATTGATAAAATTCCACCCATTCCTGAACCCCAGAACTGCTTATAATATTCAATATTATACTTGAAGTAGTTGAACAGAATAACAATAGATTACAACAGAGTAACAGTGAATTACAAAACTGATAAAATATACCTGGGAACACACTATTCTGTAATTCTCAGCAAAATCAAAACACAGTAATATTACCAACAAACATACATACCCATATTAAAAGAAAAATTACAAATAATCAGGTAAAAAGTTTAATAACAAACCCCAAGTAGTTAACACAGATATCCAATTGTTAGTCTTGTAATGTGGTTGCTCTGGATAACACTTTTATGAAAATGTTTAAATTAAGACAAAGGAGCAGATATAGCATAGGCAAATATAACAAGTCTATAACAACAATACATAACAAACTTTGTAACATCATATATTCATTTTTAATAATCTTTTTTTCTAGCTATTGACTGCAAGAAAAGGTTCTGAAGATGGGGAAGATTTCCCAAAATGTCAACCATAAGAAAATTTAACAACTACAATTTCACTTGCATCAATTGGAAGTTTTACTGCCTACATCGTAATTAATTTAAAATTTATATTTTCTAGAATATTCCTTGTCTATTTTTCATGGTCATCATGAATTAGTACAGCCTTGTTATTCAGATATGTATTGCAGACTGTTGTCTATTCCACTCTGTGAGGAAGAGATATAAAAAGGTTAGTAATTCTTAAAAATAAAATACATGTAAGAAATATTTCTGTAAATTCATTTATACTCTTGGAAAAATATATAAATTTGAATTGTTTAAAAAAAAAAAAAGATACATCAAGTTGTTTTAAAAATAAAAGTAAGCTGAAGGAAAAGTTATATTTGTGAAACTCTACTGCAAATTATTTACATGTCTGCCGTTACATGTTATTCCTATGATACTTGTGATAATTAAATAAGGCAGAGTATATTTCTTTCACAGGTTTCTTAAATTTAATCAATTATTTTTATTTTTTAAAATAGTGTAAACATTATCATTTTCACAGATTGTCTTTATTTTGTATTATTCCATAAATTGCTCCAATTTTAATGTATGTTATTAACTGTGATTAAATATAATTATCATTTTAAATAATGTCTTTTTAAATTGTTTTAGGCTTGAAGGTGAAGCATATGTACATTATAAGGCCATGCTAATTAGTTTAGCACTTCATTTAATTTTGCTCATGTTTGAATTATTGGTGTGTGATAAGCTTCAATCTGGAAGACACTTGTGGATTTTGGTTTTCATCCCATTAATTTTTATATCTATTGTTTCTATTGCAGTTTGCATTTGGGCTGTTAAACATGATCGGTCATTTGAGGTATAAACCATTTTTGTACAATACTTCTAAATGTATCAAGATTATTTTTTATTGTATTGTTAATGATTTGTGCTTTATTATCATTGGTAAAATCGGATGACTAAGCCAGTGGTTCACTATGAATAGTTCATACAATGGTTTCTGTGATTAGTTCATAGCTTGTACAGCCAATAATTCATACAATGGCTTACAGTTAGTAGTAAATAAAATAATCTCTTTCAATACTTTATAGGAATTTATGTTCATTTTGAGCCCTAGAATTTTTTTTTTTATGTTACAATCAAATAATATTTCAGTTAGTTATATATACTTACTTAATTACTTACTATGCAGTTCTATAGCCCGGAGTGGGCCTTGGCTTCTTCGATTATAGCACGTCAATAATTTCTATTCTTCGCCCTATCCTTCCTGTTTCTCACACTCGGTATTTTAAGTTCGCTCTAAACATCCTGCAGCCATCTTTTCCTTGACCTTCCTTTTCTTGTGCCATACATTGTAGAGAATAATGCCCTATAAGGCATCCTGCTGCTGTCCGTTCTAGCCACGTGGCCTAACCATTCTATCTAAACTAGCACCTAGTTTTAACAAAATGAACTATGTTGCCGCTATTATATAGTTCATATAGCTCCAAAAAAATTTTCGATACCTCCACACGCCCTCTTCACAAACAGCTCCATAAATTCTTCTCCATATTTTTCTTTAAAAAATATTCAGTATACTGATTGTGCTTGTACAAAGGGTCCAAATCTCCCCTGCATAAGTCACAATAGGTCTTATTAAAGTCTTCTTATCTTATCTTTGTTTCTCATGACGGGAATGATGATCGAAAAAATTTTAGGTTGGCAAAGTATGCCCGGTTTCCAGCCATGATCCTCTTCTACACCTCAGCAGCAATTTTATTTTCAGAATTCACTTCCACCCCCAGGTATGTTAATATTTTTACAGACTCGAAGGTAAGACCACATATTTAATGCTCTGAGGACCAGCCTTATTGTCGGCCCCGACATAAACGTATTTTGTCTTCTCTTGATTAATTTCCAGCCCAACATTTTCACTTTCAGCTTTCAATATTGCAAATATTTGCTTTATTGACCTCAATTCCTCAATTCCTGGTAATTAGGCATATATAGTGTCTGCATAAGCACATATTTGCACCATTGGGTTAAGTATGCAACCAGGTGAATTTAGTTTTTTCAAAACATTATTAAGTGCAATATTAAATAATGTAGCAGACCAAGCATCCCCTTGCCTAACCCCATCCATCATTGGAAAGTTATTGCTTACATTGTCATTAATAATTACTTTTTCATTGCTATTATTCCTTGTTATTTGCAATAACCTTATTAATTTTTGTGGAATTTGGGACTCATGTTAGGCATTTATCAATTTGCTTCTTGTCATTTTATCGAAAGCTTGCCAGTAATCTATGAACAACATATGCAGATCAATCTTATGTTCCTAGGCTTTTTTTCATTAGCTGTCTCATTACAAAAACTTGATCAGTTGTTCCTCTCCCCTTCCTAAATCCTCACTGGTATTCCTCCAGTATGTTCTCAGCAAATCTCTTGAGTCTCACAGATAGGATGTTTGAAAATATTTTATAGGCTACAGCCAATAGAGAAATTCTTGTATTGGAATTTATCTCGTTTTTTATATATCGGGCATATCAGACTTGTGCATCAGACTCCTGAGGCATGATTTCACTACTCCAAACATTCACCAACAGTAAATGTATTTGGCTAATCAATTATTCCTCTCCGCATTTAAATAATTCTGCAATTAGCATATCTTCCCCAGGTGCTTTGTTACTTTTTTTAATTTTTCAATCGCCTCAGCAACCTCTTCTATTGACAATGGCTCCAGATCATCAACACACCTTTCTTCATCACTGCCAGCCATACATTCATTACCATTAGAGTTAAGCAATGCTGTGTAATGTTCTTCCCATCTACCTAGAACTTGGGATCTCTCAGCTCATACACTTTACTGCTCTATAAAATTTCCTCGTCTCATTTTTTGCTCTCAATTCCTTAATCTGCTCTATTTATCTTTTCATGAAATCCCATTTCTTATTTCTAATAACAGTCTTTGCTTTTTACCTACTTTCTCTAGATGCTGCAGAGGTTTGTCTTGTAGAACGCTGCAACATCGCCGTCCTACACTGATTTCTTTCATGCAGGACCTCAAGGCATTCAGCAATAAACCAATCCTCAGTCCTTTGCCTACTCTTCTCACCTATCTCCTCCTTTGTTGACTTTTCAATAGCTTCTCTAATTCCCTTCCACTTTTTTTCCACACATTCCTCTCCTTTATTATCCCGACTGTCTATTTAGTGATGTTCTAAATCTCTCAGCAATTTCAGGGTCTTTTAGCTTATCAATCTCTCATCTTTTCCTACAGTGCCGTTGAGCAGTTCTTATCACTGCAAAGCGTTGTCTGAGCTTCAATTTAACCATATAATGATCTGAAATACAGTTTGGCACCCTCGCTGCTCTGCCATCAATAATTGAAATTGTGTGCCTCTTCTGAACCAATACATGATTAATTTTTTGTTTTTGCTCCTCTGGAGATTTCCACGTTCCTAAATGTATATTTCTATCTTGGAAATCAGTGCTCCTTATGACCATATTATTGGCTTCCGCAAACAAAGAACTTTTCCATTATCATTTGTCTTATTATGAACTGCGAATTGGCCAGATACTGTCCTAACAAAGCTTTCTTTTTCTATTTATGTATTCAAATCACCCAAAACTACAAAAGTTGAGTTTTACCTCGTCCTCACTGGCTTCAGTTGATACAGATATTAAGGTAACATTGCTAAATCTTCCCCTCATTCTCATTTTGCTAATCCTTGCATTAACCGGCTCAAATGATAATATACTCCATATTGTTTTTCCTGCCACAATGAATCCAGTACCATTTCTTCCTTTCTTGACATTTTCAGGACTAAACATACAGCTATATATAGTAATTGTATTTTATATTTATAATTGTATATGTTTGACATTTTTAATTTTATTCAGCTGCTTCTCTCAAATCTTATTGATTTCACAGTTAGTAAATGTGTTGCTCCTGCAAGTCAAAAGGAGGTTTATTTTCCCCTTAAGTATTTTGATTTAGACAGTGAGAAACATGTGAATGTAATTTATCATTATTATCTGGTTTGTTCAGAAGTGTTGCTGTAACCCTCTTTTCTTCTGAGATGGATTATGGTTGATTTTCCAATTCAATATTTTTAGTTTGCCAAGTTTCATTTTAATTTCCCCCAGAGGTTCAGAAATTAAATTGCAATTAACATAAATAGCAATGTTTTTGATTATTACAAATTCAATTACTATATAATCCGAATTACTCTAGTCAACATACCCAAAATCAATGTAGCTAAAAATACAAATGTTTATCAATATTCATTTTGATACTACTATGTTATATTTACTGTAAATTTATTTGATTGATTATTTGAGAATAATTTAGGAAAGGTAAATATTGAAAAATCAATGATGTATTGTTAATGTTTCAAAGCAATCTGGGAGTTTTCTTTTTCTTTCTTTTTTCAACTTCGTTTCATACAGATAAAAAAAATTGTGTATTTGACCTTCCAGCTGAGATGAAATATTTTCATAGTTTTATCACCCTGTTTTCAAAAATGATTTAATGAGGCCATATTATTGGTAGATATATAAAGTGATATCTATTTTTTTGTTGAATAATTTATATTTTCTGATGATCTTGGAGTTCAGTCAGTAAATTAACAAACTTTATTTTAACGTTTTAAGACTTATTGTTCTCATATTCATGCTCTACAGTGAATTGAACTTCCACTATTATCTTACGTCTCACCATTTATACCCTTTCTCACTCATTATTATCCTAAAACTTGTTCAACGTAGTTTATTGTTTATTTAGTAGTTAAATGTAGTGAATATTAATTTTCTACAAGTACATATTCATTATTAGTTTCCTTTAAACTTAGTTTAGTTGTGATATCTCAATAGTTAATGTTTATCCTAGGCATTAATCAAGAGTTGATGGGTAGGCATTTTATATTATATTGCCTTTTCGAGAAAATTTGCTCATCAGTTGATGTCCTGGTTCAAAGAATTGCTTTTGGTAAATGATATTAGACTATACGTTACAGGCATACTGAAATAAAGTAATACCTCGATAGTTAGCACACTCAAATATGACTTCCTTTTTATGAATAAGACATATAATGCCTTTCATCACCTCCTTCCATGAAGTGATTTACGCTTCCATGATTCTGTGAGGCTCTCCTCAGTTAGCATTGTCATTGATTCTTGCCGAAGCACATTCAGTTGCGGTCAAGGGCAGTAACGGTCGACAGCACCGTTGAAGTACTATTCATGAAGTAGGTTCTAAGCCAGGCTTCCTGTTCACGGCAGGCCTTCAAACTAATAAGTCCTCTGCCTCCATGTTTTCTAGACAAATACAGTCTGAAGAATTTGGGTGACGTTGCCGTGATTTTATCATTTCCGTTCTTAATAAGCGTTCACACCATTTTATTACTCTAAAGGAATATGTAACAGCAGGAATCACCCAGGTATTCAAGGCTTTTACTAAATTTCCTGCCGATAAATTAGTTTTTAGGAGTATCCTGACCCGTTTCTTAAATTCTTCTTCAAAGGTCTCTTTGACCTATTTTTTTAATTTAAGCAGCTGAGAGATACCAAGATACTTGTAGGAATAAGTTAACTGAAGTTGCTTGATGACATCACTATTATTAAGTTCAATATCATTATTATTATTATTATGTTTGTATTTTTATAAAAGTTTTAAAATAAATGCTTATTGATTGATGTGATTGTCCTTGAACTATATTTTAAATCAACTTTTAAGGTGAACTTTATTTAAATAGTTCTTAATTTTGTAGAAATGTTTTATGCCTTATTTTGACCTTTTAAATATTGCCAAAATATTTTCTGTTTGATTTTAGCTGGAGTTATTTTGCGCTGTCAACATGCTTCAGTTCATATTCCTTGCTCTACGACTTGATGGTTTTACTTCATGGAGCTGGGAGGTAATAAATAACATTATTACTGTGGTTATTGTTATTCCTATTTAATAAAACATACAAACAATTTGATACAATTTTTACAAAAATTGAGAATAATTTAAATATTAATTTTAATGGTAGATTTCTTATTCCTAATAGATCTTTAAAAATGAAACCAAATTTATTAGTTTATTCAAAAGAAGTGCTAATAGGAGGGGAGCAGATCTGACAAACATTTTTTGTGTTAAATAACTTGTTATTTAAAGTTATTGTTCTAGATCACTTTAATTTGTTCAGCTGAGTAGTTATAGTTATGATAGGAATCATGGGAACTAAACATACATGAGATTCGTATAATGCTATGAACAAATGGGTAATCATTTATCCTCCAATATACGTTTGGATGTCTTGGAATGATATACTGTCACTAGTTGATATGTCTTTTTAGGTCTCTTGTTGAAAAATGTATTGTATTTGGTATATTTATATGTTCTTTGTCGTTTTTGTCTTGATGATGCCTGAATTGGTGAAATGTTGCTGGGTTAATTATTTACCTGTATTTTAGAGACTTGAGGCTTTGTGTTAAGAGTTGTCCTACTATATCATAACGGTTAATTTGTGTATCTTTTTGGGTTTTTGCCTCTTTATATTGATAAAAGTAATAATGTGTTAGCGTTTCAAGTCTTATTTTAATGAATGTTTGAAAAGACATCGACTTCTAAACATTTTCGGGTTGTCTATGTGGGGTGAGTTTCTAGATCTGGAGTTGGAGAGCTGTTACGAATAGATAGCAAATTGGATGTGAAACAGTATCATAGCATCCTTACATACTTTTTACCTTAGATGATTTTTTTTTTTCAGAAAAGTCATATGGTTTAAAATTAGAACAAATATCTGTTTCAAATTACCATTTCAAAAATTCAAGATGCACCGTGTATTTTACAATCATTAATCATTATTATGCTACTGTGTTCGTTATGAATGCTTAAAGAGTATTATATTTTATTTATATAAATTTTATTAAGTTATATTTAAATATTATATATATTTATATTTGTAAATTTTATATTTTTTAAATCATGTACTTTTTTGTAGGTAGTGTTTGTTCCACTGTGGATTGTGATGTGTTTGTCTTTAGTTGGAGTTTTATATACAATTATATTTGCTGGAATACTTCTAAGAACTCCTCAAGTAAATGCAAGGCAAAGGAGGACTTCTTTTAACTCTGCCTTAGCCTATACTTTCTTGGTGATACCTATTTTAATTTTTCAGGTAAAGGATCTTAAAGGTAGTTTTATTAGTTTATCATGTAGAAATGAATAACTAAGACCAATTTCATTTAGTGAAATTTTATATTGTTTTTTACTATCAACTATTGTTTTATTCTCTTTCATTGTTTACCATATTACTGTCATAATTGTTTCTGTCATATATAACTCCTAAAGTCTAAATATGTCCATTATTTAAAACTTCATATAGGATAAAACCCCCTGTTTTCGGCATCCATTGACAGTTATTTAAAAATATTTAGCATTAGAAATGTCAAAATGGACTCTTTCGAAGCGTGAAACCCTTCATAAGCATATCATTCCATATTTCACCATTTATCTTGTTTAAGTAACTAAAAAAGGCTCTGAAGGCAAGCTTCCCAACAGGTACAATCTAAAAAGGAAGTGCCTTACATTTTTACTTAGAAATACAAATTTACTTTTCAAGAAATCGTTGGATCTAAAATGATATTTTTATGTATCTGACTTTTTAATTTTGTTCTATGTTTATAACTGTTAGTTTAGAACATAGGAACAGTTGACAATTTTCCTTTTTCTATTATTTAAAAGGGTTGCCAAGAACTGGTCCTTGAAAAATGAAAATATTCAGTTTTCGGTACTCATATTTCTGAAAACTGGAACATGGCTCATTAATACCTAAATTTTATACATTTATTTTTGTCACTATAAATTTAAGAGGATTTGTTAATCACTTAATGGATATTCTTGTCTACTTCCCAAGTAAAAAAAAAATTATTAAAGCTTTCAAATTGAAAGATGAATTTAGAATGTTAAAACAGTAACTATCAAAAATGAAGAAAATTCACAAATATTGTGGAGAATCATGCTATGAGGGTAAATAATCAAAATATGTAAAGGCCTACAGTGAAAAAGATGTGTAATATATTATCACTCACATTACAAGTGGCTGTTTGAGCATAAATGGAGCCAGCAAGGTCTATGGTATTCCTTAAAAACTCTTCAGTGTTGAATGGGAAATAATTTTGCAAAACTTGAAACAGGCTCCTCCTTCCTCACTGTTGAAGAAGAAAGATAGATTTTTGTAAGGAAGACTAGATCTGCTGAAAAGTGGAAAGCAGTTTGTAAAAGCTGAGAAAAACAGAAAAGTGCTTTCATCGGCTGAGGGTTGATAAATCTTGGCTGAAGGGATTTTCAAATTGCACTCAGGATATTTTGTACTTAACTAGATGCTTGAAGCCCTCACCACTACCAGAGCCAATATATTAAATACAAATTATCATCTACTGTATCAAAGAATATTTCAAGGAAGAATGGCCAGATATTCGTTCATCATCACTAGATTTTCCTCGGAGATACAACAAATTTCATACAATACCTGAAAATGGAGAAAGTTTTTTCTTAAAAGAGTATAAAAAGTGTGTACAAAGAACATATACCACTGAACAAAGAAAGTTATTCTTCGATACTTACCTTATGTTATACATATACTTTAATGATAACGTTTTTACTACTTATCATTCATTGCTAATATGTACCTATTTATGCTTTCCCATGACATTGTAATGCTAGTTCCTAAACATTGAGGTATTAGACAACAGGGTTGATGAAGACTGTAAACATTTTTCTAATTTCATTAAATTTTTATTCTTTTCCTGAATAGAAATATTACAAAGCCCAACATCCTTTCATTTAAGGGCATAACAGTCACATGGCTTATCATACAAGTGGTTGGTACTGTAAAGAAAATATTTATTAACTGCACTTTATCACAATGCAATACGTATTCTACAATCACCAAAAGTATCTGCATTTCTTCCAATCTTGATTGAAAGAATAAATAAAGTTGCTGTACAGAAAATTCCTGACAAGGAGATAAGCTCATGGAACAACTATTATAAAGTGTTTTTCATTAGAATTTCCTACCAGATATTTAAAATATAGAATAAAAACCTTTGGTCTATATGGAATTTTTTGGCAACCAATTTTTATAAAATATTTGGAATATTTTAATTAAAACAATGAATGATGTAACCATGTACATTATACTGATTTTGGAGTTGTACAGTTCCCAGTTATTTACCTTTGTTATTATTTGTTTTTGTGAATCCAACTACCTGTTAAGTAACCATTTCTGTAAAGAATTGCTCTCTTAGCTGTTCCATGGTGTACTTTGTTCACAATTTTCCTATTCTTATAAGCAAAAGCTTTCTCCGCTTTCTCTGTTGAAACTCTATTCAGGATGGAGAAGATTATCAAAATTGCCTTATTTCTTTAAATATTCTTCGATACTATAGATGTAGAACTTGTAATTAATATATTGGTGATGGCAGCAGTGACAGCTCCAGGTGTCCTGTTAAGGAGGATCCAGATTGCGACTTAAATTTTCTTCAGCCAGGTTCTTCACCTGTGATTAGAACTATCTATCTATCTTTCTTATTCTGCAGGAAAGAAGGTTTTGAGAAACAATTTCTCATCCAATGTTGGAGTCTTTTACAAAAATACTTTATAACTTGCTGGCACCATTTATGCTCAAATAGCCTCTTCTGATGTGTTTGATAATTTATTACACCTTTTTTTTTTTGTATAGGTCTTATTATATTTCGATTATGCGTTTGATTGTATTGATGTATCATTTTTCATTATCTGTTATGATTCCATGCAAAAAACACTTATGTTTTTGCCTTTGGAACAGCTGTTTACTGGTGAAAAAGTTCCTATCCACATTTAGTTTTAATGGCCTTTAAACCTTAATTCACAGATCGGAACGGAACAGAATTTTCCACCACTGGAATTCATTCTAGTTCTCGTTCCATTCCATTTTTGTTCCAAACAACACATGAACCACGATAGAGAATAATGAAGCAAATATGTGTAATACTAAAACTATTTAAGACGACTGAAAAATCATTGAGGCTGAGGAAAATGAAGATAAACGGAGATGAGTACAGAAAAATGAAGGGGAAAAAATGAACGGGAAGTTATGGAACATTGATGAGAGCTTGAGAGCAATATTCTCCAAATGGTACACCTCAGTCAAAGGCAATGATTGACTTAAACAGGTTCCTAGAAAAAGATATTTTATACAACAATGAGAACCCTATTAAGTGGTGGTTTGGTCTGCAGAAGAACTACCCTAATCTGCGCATCATTGCCAAAGAAATGTTGAATATAGTGGTCACTTCGGTTTCAGGTCAACGAATCTTTTCAAAAGTGGCATGTTGATTAACGAACATCTGACTCGGCTATCAGCTGGTGAAGTAAAAATTGCTGTTTTTAAATTCTAATTTTTGAATTAATTTATATAAAGTTTTTACCGTTTAGTTTTTTAATTCCTTCTAAATTTTATATTGTAGATTTGTTTGTTTTTTATCTTTATTTTTTTAATTAAACCTGTTTTTTGGTTGATAAAATTCATCTATTTATCTTAATTTTCTTTAAATATTCTCTTGCCCCAAGTTACAGAAAAATATTAATGAATAAAAACCCATTTCTGTTTTCTAATTTGCTTTTTTTATTTTACGCACAATTTAATTAATTTATGACTTAATAATTTAAACTAAAAATAACAACACAGGTAGACACTGTAATCGGTATCATAATCATTCTAAACGGTACTAGAATGAAATCTCCGATTGGAATAAAAGTGCAATGTAATCGAACGTAAAAGTGTTCACATTCTGATGAAATGAGATTCCAAAGTCCCTTGGAACGAGAAAGACCTTTCCGGATGGAATGGTTTCATCAAACCAGTTCAAGACATCTTTATTACGACTAATGAGACTGTTAGTTCTGTTTCTTCTTCGTTGTGCCGTTTTAATACGACTTACAAATAAATAAAATTAAAATAATAATAAAAAAGCCAACATTTAATAAAAATCCAATTTTTTTTTCCTTTTAAAGTGTTTAAACAATATTGATATCTCTCATACATTTTACAGATAGCTAAAAAAATTAAAATAAAATGCGAAATCTTAGGTTTTATAAATCCCAATAAACCAATGATATAAAATTTTCTATTACAAATTTCATTTGTACAACAGAACAACATATTTATTATTTGGTCTTAATAATAATGATAATAATAAAATTTTATTAACATGTTTATTTAATATTATTTATAATTAGATTATTATTATTTTAATAGTTTGTCTGAATCTTGGCATTATAATTAATAATTTTAAAATTTGCAAATTTCTTTCTTAAAATTATGGTTAGGATCTTATCATACTTTATTTAATTATATTTCTTTATATTCCATAAAAAACTATGTTGAATTTAGTCGTTACGGTTCACTTTTGAAGTGAACAACCTATTCGACTATTCCGTATAATCAGTGCACTAACCTTGTTGTTACAAATCCTTTTTGTACCTATTTGATTTTTCTACCTAACATTTACCCATCGATACCCAAAGACTTATATATTCTTAGATTACGGCGGAACGAAGTTTCCGAGGGTCTCTTTCCGTTCTAAACTGTTCCAGTGGTGGAATTCGTTCTGTGAACCATCCATTCCTACTTACCACCACTAGGTATGGTTCCATCCATAATCCTCGCACATCAATAATCTCCAACTACTTTTTTTTTTTTCGAAAAAGGGCAGAAAAATATAGCTTCTCACAAATTTTTTTTTTCATTTGCACAAAACTCAACATATTTATAGTTTAAAAAATTATGTTGTTTACATTTATACCTAATAACTCTTATTGTCAGCTAAAGCTTAATGATGATGCTTTAACATGATGTTAGTTAAGTTATGGTCCAATGTGATTTAATTTAATTTTAGCCTCTCTCTTGTTAATAAATCCTTTAAAACTTATTTGTGCCCCTTTTAAAGGATATATTTATAGATATATATTGATTTTGGTGTGCTCAAAAAATAAATATATAAAATATAAAGTGAATATTCTTATTTACATTAAATATTGTATTTTTTCTTTGAAGGTTTTACTTACCAACAAGTTGGATGGTGACATTGCTATGTCTTACATTGGAGTAGCTTCACCTCTGTTTATATCCTTTTTAACTCTTATCTTGATGTCATTTAGTGCTAAAGGAGGAAATAAATGTAAGTTAATTTTTATTTTTGTGTTTAAGTTATTTTTATTTATGAATAATTTTTGTTATTAATGTGCATGTGATTAAGATAAAATAATATGATGTTCATTTACATCATTTTCAAGAAATAGTATAGAATTTATAGTGAAGAGAATGCAGTGTTTTCAGTTTCAAATGCACCTTCAAATGTCTTTTTTATGGAAAATATCTATGTTTCAAAAATCTCTTGCTGTACATTTTTGCTATACATCAGTATTCAATAGTGAAGGAACCTCCACCAATGATATAGAACGAAGAATCAGAGAAAAAAGAAAAGTAACAGCTATGCTCAACGGCGTCCTTTTGAGCTCAAATATACAGTCTAGTACAAAAATGCTAATATAGAAATAGAAAATTAACTTTATTCTGGAACGGAGTCCCTTAAGAATAATGGAAACTTAAGAACAAATTTCTTATTTAAATACATCTGGCCAGAAGTATTTAAATAAGAAAAGTTACATTAAGTAAATAGAAAACCTTATGTAAATTAACAAAATATACTAAAACAAACTAATCGAACTATATACAAAATATTTAAACTATATATCATAAAATAAGAATGAAACAAAATAACCCTTGCTTAGCTAAGAAAAAAACCAGTAAATATTAAATAAATTCCTCTAACAGATGAGCACCAAGTAAAAATAAATAATGTAAAGTAAAATATAAAGAAACAAAGATTTATCTTAATAAAAATTAAAACATTAATAATAAAAATAGTGTGAAAATAAATAAATTAAGCAACTTTGAGATCATGGAAATCATTTGCAACAGAGATGACTGATATTCACAACAGAATGATTGCCTGAAAAATATATATACAAGTTCATAAGTACACATATGTATAAACAAGGTAATGAGAAGAAGAAATGTATGTATATACAAGCAAAAAACATTGATTTTTTTTTAATAAGACACTATAACTTAACATGTGGTTAGCCATTTTTTGGTTGTTTGGTAGTATAGCTGCTGCGACCTTGCTAATTCTACTGGTTTCCTTGTAAAATAAAGCTTCTAACTAGAGCCTATAGATGGCTTGGGGATTTATTTTGGAGCTTTTTTTTTGTAGAATTCATGAACCATTGTGGGTGACTCAACCATTCTCTGGCTGTCTCAACCATTTTCATTCTTGTTTTGTGTTCTGTGTGAAACAAGTGTATGTTCAACTGCTCTGAGTTTATAAAAATGTCATTTGATCTAGTTATTTTAGATAGAAATTAGATGGAATAAGATTGCTTAGTTAGTTATATAGAATTATTTATTTTAGTTATTTTTTAGTTAAAAGTTCGTCTTTTTTTTTTTTTTTTTTTTTTTTGCTTTGTTATTTTCTTTAAAATGGAGAAACAGTGGTTTATTGCTGCAGAAACAACTGAATTCATTACTACTGCCGAAAGATATAATATAAAAAATATATTCTACCTATAATATTTTTATATATATATATACATACCTAGACGCAAAGCCAAGGTAGAATGTCACAATTGTAAGGTTTTAATTCGAAGAATACCATACAGAATTAAATTATTAAATAAATATTTAAACCTATAAAAAAAAATAGTTTTAACTCCGCCAGTTTCGGTCCACAGCCTGAATCAAAAAGGAGAATCGAAATAATAAAATAAGGTTAAAAGACAGTAATAAAAGCCATTAATGAAGGGTGGAAAGCAGTTAAAAAATATGTAGCATGGGAGATTAGGCTGGTAGCCAGCTTACTTAGCTCTGTGGTAGACGTAAAGCTTGTTACTCGCAGCAGCAAAAAGGTTAACAGATGCCGAAATAGTTAGATCACTACCAATATAGCCGAGCCAAACATCAAGACTGACATACTTTACTATCAATGGTTCAGGTAAAATCCCAGCATATATTATTTATGGGCTTCCATCTTCGATTGTTTGGTCAACGAAAGCAGGTTCGGTCTTGGTCCACTTAGAAGACAGCTCTCATGCCTCAAAAGTCATAGGATGGTAAGGGCTATGAGAAAGCGGATTGCAGACAAAGTTAGCTCTGAGGAAAAAACTAAAGCTCAAGGTGAAAGATGTACCTCATTCGTGAGACAAAGTAAAACTTTTAAGATTTCTTTGAGAAAGAATATCAGAGAAATCGGTCCTAACATTACTGGTCCGTAAAGACCTCCAGCCACTTTTTTCCTCAGTGGCTAAGAATCGATTCACCAAGAATTTGGTTCTGGAGGTTCATCCAATCTTTCAATTCCAGTTGTTAGAAATTAATAGTTTTAGTGGAGAGTGATGGTCTTTAACATTTAAGGAATACTCTGAGGCCCCTCAGTGCACAAAGTGTCAGGGCTATGACCACACCAAGGCTGCATGCAAGTTGGATGTTGTGGTCTGTATTTGGTGTTCAGCTTGTGGTCATATGATGAACGAATACCCAAGCAAAAAGGTAATGGCAGAACCAACCTGTATTAATTGTGTGCAGGTTGGTGCTGATCCCATCGAAGTGCTTAAAGACCGATACCCTGTGCACTTAAAGTAGTGCAAGGAGATGGCTAAAAGAAGCAATTATGAATAAGATCAACGTCCTCCACTGACATGGAACATGGGCCCATGACGTGTTGTGGTATATGAGCTTCATGTTCTCTCCCAATGATACATCATTGCGATCCAGAACCCGACCTGTCATGGGAATTTGGTCTCATGTTGAGGGGTATAGCTCTAAGCTGTGGAGAGCGAGGGCCTACACTGCAATTGTGATTAACAATCTGAACCTCGAAATGATGGATCTGAGGCAATACTGTATGGTAGATAGTGATGCACTTTATTTTAGGTGGAGTAGTGTATTTTTTACACTGGTTTCTGCATATCTACCTAATGGAAGAAACATTATAAAAAATATATCTGCCATGGAGATGATCATATCTAGTTGCAGAAGTGTGATCATTTGCTCTGATTCAATTACTATAACATGGTCTGGGGGTCTAATTGAACTGACAAAAGAGGTGTTGAACTCAATTATTTTATTGCTAGGGGCTAGATAATTGTTGTAAATGACACATCTGCTTTCCCTACATTCTCTGGGGGTATGGATGAGAGCTGAATTGACATTTATTATTATCAAGGACTTAAGAGCCATGGTGTCGAAACTAGTTATATTACCTGCAGGACCAACTGGAGTGCTTTCCAATGCATGCTAGAGGGAGAAATAACCGATGAAGATTGGGAAGTTGGGAATCAGAGATTGCAGTTGATCTGGATTATAGAGTATCTATGGTCACAAATGCTATCCATGATGTCAGATGAAAAATCCCTCCATTATAGGAAAGCGAACGCTCGACCTGTCCCATGGTGGACGCACATTATACCCTCCTGGCACGGACTTTGTATTGCTGTGGGTAGACAGAAAACTGACCGTGCTCAAGGACAATAAATGCGGAGATCTTGAAAAATAGTATTTCCTACATTGAAGAGCGATTGTTGAGAATCTTTGTAGATGAGGTATCACATGACATAAAAAAATTAATTATTTTAATTATTAATTAATTATCTTATTAAAAGATATAAGAAAAAAACTTCACAGAAGAATATTTTATTATAAAGGGTTGTGGCTATATTTATTCCACCATTTTTATTTGTTTTTTTTACATTGGCAACGTTTCGGCTATGATGCCATTTTCAAGCCATCTGTAAGATTAAATTAGTGATGCTGGTTATGTTGTGTCCAACATAGATGTTTTGTCCGTAACCAGCATCATTAATTTAACCTTACAGATAGCTTGAAAATGGTGGCATAGCCGAAATGTTGCCAGAGTAAAAAAATAAAATAAAAATAGTGAAGTAAATACAGCCAAAACCTTTTATTTTGTATCATAATATAACCTTAAACAAAAATATATTTAAACAAAGTTCACATGTTGTAATTTTTTTTTTAGTTTTTTATTAAAATTGTTTTAGTACACAAGTATTTTCAATATGTTTCCAGCTGTACCTTTTAGAGTATGGTATTTACTTGGCACTTACAAAAAAATTAAATTCTTTGCACAAGAGAAGAACAACAAATTATTAGGTGTGCTGTTTTTTTTTCTGTTTAGTACATATCAATGTAAAATTTCAAAGTGCAGTAAAAACTTGGATTTACCAGTAAATGATAGGATTTCCAAATGGAATTAACTAGATACATTTAGTTTTTCACTCATAAATACGGATTAATTTGTATAATAGAGATGGGTGTAAAACACAGTTTTATAACAAATTTACGTATCAAATATTTGAAAAATCATTTAAAATTTTTATTTTTAATTAATAAAAAGTGTATTTAGGTAATTATGTTTCTTATAATGCATTCAATATTCATGGGAAAACATTACATAAAAGCTTTGCCACAATTAATTGTAGTCATTTTTGGTGAAAACATGGGTACTTTTAGGAGACAGGATGAGAAACACTTCATTTTTTGACACAACTTGAGGTGAATTTCAATTTTTCCCTGATAAACCTCCACTTAATTAATATGTACTGATAGCTAATTAAAGGAGGATGGTTTCCTAAAAGTGGCATATCTGTAGTGCAGTTGGATGAAGATAAAAAAAAAGTCAAATAATTTATGATTATTTTTAAAAACAGAACTTAGTTTAGCCGCTCAAAAGTCCTCTTTAAATGGTTTTAACAAAAACAAACACTATCTTCATTTTTAGCAAATTTTATCTAGTTTACAATGAAGCTATTGTTAATTACTTAAATTAAATATTTCTTTAGTTATCAATAATTTGAGTAATGATAAAAAATTAAAAAGGTGATGTACTTTTCATGATTTTCATTCCTTCAAACATTCTTTTTATGAGAATTATTCAGAATTTTATATTTTTACATTTCAAAAAAAAAAAAAAAAAAAAAAGTAATTCTTATATTCCTAATTTAACTTTTACTGACATGTCTTAATATTTGTCATCAAGTGTTGATCTGATTACTCTTCACTTGATTCAATACTATGCTATTATCAAGGCTTGGTAATAGTCTTCAGATTTACTTGCAAAACTCCTGTTTTACCAGTTATTCTGAAGTTTTACCAATAACTTTGGAAAAACCTTGGTTTTGGTAAATCTTGTGTTTTACCACTCAGTGGACTTTTATACTAACAGGGACACTTATCTTGAAAGAAAAAAGTTATTAAAAAGTAAAATTGCATAAATTTTGTTGCTTATTAAATTGCCTTCAAGATGTGGTCACTGTAGAGCTCTAATATTAATTGAATTAATTGAGTTGGGAACTCTAAACATTTTTTGAAATATTCTGAAAATTGTTCAACACTTTAATAATGTAATATTTTTTGCAGGGTGGTTTGGAATCAGAAAAGACTTTTGCCATTTTCTGCTTAGTATGTTTCCCTTTCTTCAGGAATATGCTAATATTGCATATAGTAGTAATACGCAAAACAATGGTGAACAAAGTAATAGGGTAAGACATGAAAAATCTAAGAAACAGGTTGATGCTACAAAACCAGTGGTACCAATAATTTCCATTGATACTCCTGATTAATCAATTAATTAAATTATTAATTGAAAGAAATAAACAAGATGTACTACAAAGTTGTTTATTTTTGTATATTTAATGATTAAAGTATCTTTTTGTGATGCAAGATTTATTGGATAGTTATTTATGTGGTATGTATAAATTGTTTATATACTTTTATGTTTAATTATTCCTTCATTTTTTTTTTTTTTACAATTTTCTGTACTATTGTACTCCATTTTAACATGAGTAATATGATAAGATATACTATATGATTGTGAATATAAGATGTATGTATGTATTACATATACATATCTGAATGATATAATGCTTCCGAATCAAATAGATTTAATCAAATAAATATGATTTTTTTATTGGTTCCAATTTGGAATAAATTAAATGTAAACATTCTTTAATGTATGTTATAAATACTCTCATCTTTTAGTAATATTTTCATATTACTTTTTAATATGTTGTAAAATTTATTCTTTTTCTCCTCATCTTTATTTTTAGTTTTTTCATAAAGTGTTTGTAATTCATGTGTTTTTAGGAATCAGGTCATTTCTTTTGAAACAATTATTCTGTTTCACTGATAAATTAAATGGTATGCTGATAATGTGTATAGTTTATTTAATTTGTTGGAATATTAATACAACAAAACAAAAATGGAAGTAATGGGTCCATTTTTTTAAATTGAAAAACTAAATTACAAAAAAAAAAAGTAGCTCTTTTTTTAACTATACTTATATGTTTTGATAGCCTCACTTGGTAACATTGTAACTGACTTATTTTTCCATGTTTAATTTTTTTTCACAATTTGAATGAATTATCTCATATCTGATAGCTTAACCCTCTGCTGGCTACTATGCTGCCAATCTGAGATTTTTGTTATTGTTAGGAAAAGGACAATTTTGTTGATCATTTGAGGTCAATTATTCTATTTGCAACTCATCCCTGACATTAAAAGAAAAAAGTAACTGTTCTTAACTTGGTTGTTCAGTGTTTGACTGTATATAGAAGGGGAAAATTGTGGCTTGTCCCTTGTACACTTTGTGCAACTGTAGTTATAACCAAATTTTCTGCAAAATCTAATGAGAAATTTGATTTATTTCTCTCTCATTTTTGATGTATTATATCTAATTTATTATTCATTTAATGTATTTAGTTTAACATGTACCCATTGATAAAATATAAATTTATATTTTAAGTTGTTGGTTGTTTAAAAAATAGCTTTCCTTCATCAATTGAAATTTTGGATAGTGTTTTTGAAAACTTAATGGAAAAAGGTTATTTTCTAAATAATCTACAATCCTGTACCACATCAATGTTAGTATTTTTAATATTGATGCTGCAAATTTAATTTAATTAGTATTAGAAATAATGTATATTTTGGAGATGGGTATAGAGTTTGCTGTTGAAATGACAATTTTTTCATCCATAGTGAATATTTTGTTTTTGAACTCATTTCTTAAAATAAATCCATATAGAGGGTGTCCCACAAGTAGAGGGAAATATTTAAAAGGGAGATAAAAGACCTCAAGCTCTACAAAAAAGTTTGTATACAAAGATAAATAAACCTACAAATTTCTTTAATTATTTTCATAAAATCTTAGGATTAAGAACATTTAGATGGTCACTTATAAATACTGATCTATTCCTGTAAAAGGGATCTGTGTAAAAACCACAGTTTCATAATCACTTTAGACCATAGATATTTGAATAATAATTATTTTTAATATATATATATATATATATATATATATATATATATATATATATATATATATAATCAAATAAATGTGATTTTTTTTTATTGGTTCCAATTTCGAATAAATTAAATGTATATATATATATATATATATATATATATATATATATATATATATATATATATATATATATATTATAGGGAGTGGGGTAGCTCTGTGGTAGAGTAACTGGGCTTCCAATGCTAAAGGTCCCAGGTTCGAATCACAGCTCATGGCAGAAAGATTATTTATTCTGTGACATCGGCCTTGGAGCAACCCTGTGATCAGTAGACCCTCCTGAGGCACACCCAGCCTCTATAATGTGGATACCCTTAATTAAAATAATTAATTAAGGGAAAACTTGGTGGTTGAGTGTGATCTCTGTCAAATCACCTTCTCGCATAACCATAAACCAAGAAACAGTGCTTTCACTAAATAGTACTGAACCCAAGACCCTTCATGGGTTGAAGTGGTACAGGTTTTATATATATATCTTCTCTTATAATTCAATTGTACTTATGAATTTAAATTTGTTATAATACATCCCAGGTAATGAAAAAACAGAAATTAAATCTTTGCAATGATTTATTTAGTCGTTTTTGCTGAAAACATGGTCACTTTTAGGTGACAGGATATGAAATCACATCATTTTTTTTTATCCAACTTGAGATTAACCTCAACTTATTTCGTAATAATCTCTGAACTTAATTAATGTGGACTTAAAGCTTAGTTAACAAGGAATTTATTTTAAAAGTGGGTTATCTGTATATAGTTGAAGGGTAATAAAAAAAGTCATGAATAATTCATGATTTTTTTTAACAGCACTTAGCTTAGTTTAGACGCTTAAAAGTCTTGTTTGAATGGTTTTACAAATTTCACTTTCATGAAAACTAAATTTTGTCTAGTTAACTGTGAAGTAAATGCTAATTACTTAAATCATGTATTTTTTTAGTTATCACTTCCTATTCAACAAAACATGTTATTTACTTTTAAAAACACAAAACTTAAATTTTGTCTACTTTTCTGCTAAAAATAGGGCCATTGTAAATATATGAAATTTTTGTGTAGCTCATCCCTTTAAATATTTTACTCTGCTTACCAGACACTCTGTATAAATGTCTTTTTTTCTTTTATTTTATTTTTTTTTTTTGTTAACTCAAGAATCTTACGATTCTGCCTAAGAAAAGAATTAATCATCAGTTAACATTGTTAGGGATGTGAAACAGAACAAAAGTTTATGCCATCCAAAATATAGCTAGCATCTGGTGATAATATTAGAACCATATCGCCAAGTAAAGATTTAAAAACAAAGCTCTTAATCAGGTTGGTGTTTTCCTCTAAGATCTGTTTATCCTGAAGCATTTGTTTTTAGGTTGCAATGGCTTTTAAGGTTTTTCTTTAAGATAAAAGAGTTTTTAGGCATTTTTTCATATCTACAGCTAAACGTGTTTCGCCTTTTTTATCTGATTAGAAACTAAACATTAAAATGAGTGGAAAAAAGTAGTTTGAAAACTACTAGAAATTTATTTACCTAATGTGAGGTGTAATAAGCTAATGAAAAGATGTTCTCATGGTCAAGTATTCTTTAATGTGATGTTACATTCTAATTTTGGGACAGAATTAAAATATTCAATAAATAAAATGAATAAATAAACCCAAATGGCCTGATTAGATTTAAAGTTTGAATGATCCTTAATTTATTTTGCTGACGCTCTCCTTACCATTGGTACAATTTTCCTTTTAAAAAATAATTTTATTATATTAGTTATATAATTTAGTTATAGTTATAGTTTTGAACTTTCTTCATTACTTAATTTATAATATTTTGTTTATTTGTACATTTCAGGACTACTCTGCCCCCTTATTCAATATATATAATTACATTAACAATTTATAGGTTTTATATTTAACCGTTCATTTATATTTCTTTGAAGTTAATTTTAAAAAATTGAATTTAAATAATTTCCTATTCAAGACCATGAAAAAAATATATTTACATAATTTGTCACAGTATTGGATTAGTCCTCTAACAAATTTGATCAATGATCAAACATTACTTCCAGTCAAAATACCAAAGTACATTTAGGGTTAGGGAGGGTAAGCAGTAAATTTGTTTTGTTTTTTAATTTGATTTCATCAATTCGAAATTAACTTTAATTCTTCCTTTATATTTAATGTTTGTTTTAGATATTTTTTATATATAAATAAGTTTTCTTTTATTTTTCTGTTTATATTTTTTTCCCTATTCATTGTCAAATCTGATTTCATGGGTTAGTTTATTTTCAATTAAATTGTTACCTAGAGCTGTGTGATTTTAGTTATCTACTATTGAATCTATTGTTTTTCTAAGATTTTGGAGTGATTCTCTTATGTATATATTTTTGCAGGAACATTTTAATTGATATACATTGTTAATGGTATCCATTTTTTTAATGTTATCTTTTATTTTACTGAATTGTTTTAAGACTATATTATTATATTTCCAGACTACCTTAATGTTATTATTTTTTAATCTATCAAAGCATTCAGCTTTAATTAGTTGATATTGAAAACTGAAATATATAATATTATTTGTTTTTATTGTTATTGGTATTTTACTTTTTTTTTGTTGTTGTTTAGCATATGTTTTTCTTTATATTACGTGAATTACTATTGTTTTTACTAAAAAATAGTTTGATTTGTAACTGTGTCAATCCAGCTGTTCTTAATCATCCAATTTTTCTTTCTTAATTTATTGTGTTTTCGTTATTTATAACTGCCAGATTTTAGTTTATTTAACTTATTTTAAATATTATTAAAATTTAATTTTCCAACCTGCTCTCTATGACATTATACGTCTACTAGGCCAGTTCTATGGGAATAGTTTTAAATCCAGCCTCGTGAATGGCAAAATTTTGACTACATTCTTTTATTATTGAGTGTTTATGTCTGATTTATCTGTTTTAAGTTGGTTTGTAATCACTAATTTCAACGAATATAATATAACTATTTAAGTAGTGTTAAATAGTTAAAATTAAATTAATACAAAAATATTATATAAATATTTTTTTATAAATTATCCTTATCTTATTCTAATAGGATAATTTTGGTTATGAGAATTGAAAAATATGAATTAAGCATTTAGGGTTAATGTTGGCTTTTTCAGGGGAAAAATACATATGTGATCTGGCAGCCCTGCTCTTAGTTCTATAGCATAAAACTTGGTAGAAATTCTAAAATAGGTTTAAAATTGATTTTGGCCAATTTTTAAGTTGAATAACTTATCTGGTAAGACGTTTTCATTCAAATAGTGAAGAAAAAAAAATATAGCTAACAAGTGAGTTACAAGGTTATCTTGGGAGGCCTTCGATTTGATGTATTGTATTTGTGTTTGTTTATAGCAATTTTAATGGGTCAATTTAAATACAACTTCTGATACTATTAGATTAATAAATTTATTTGCAATACTAAGATTCAGTAGTATTCAATTATCTGTTTTGCAAAACTTCCAGGCAAGCTTTGCATTGTAATTCTGGAACTAGTTCTCTTTCCATGAACCCTTGGCATACAAAAAT